TTTTAGGGGGAATGAGTCCCTTGTCTGAAGAACTGTACGCTTGCGTGAGAACTTTCTACCAGTGGAGAAGGAAGAAAGGCCATCTGTGTTGTATCGCGGGGAGGTTGAACAGATGGTGTGTATGCGTGCATGTGCATGTCTGTGTGTTTGCACACGTGTGTTTGATAATCAGGCTATCAAGGTACTTTCATTATGGGCAAAATGCAACTTAGTGACATGCATCCTCCATGTGTTTCAAGCTACTCCAGCAAGACACTGACTTGGGAACTCCTACTCATCCACTAAAATCCACCTAAAATAGCCTTGGTTACAGCTAAGAGAAAACCAAATACATTAGCATGATACCAATCATAAGCCCGACTCAGACCATGCTCCAAAGAATTTCACTGGGAAAGCACCCCCTGCAGGCGTCCTTCTGGGGTTACCTGGAGTTCCACCCCATAGCCAGTGTAGACTGTCACATTGTACGTGCACTCCAGGAAGTTGTTGAAGGGCAGCGGCAGGTAGTCGCTGGAGTCGATGTAACCCTCAGGGTCGGAGAAGCTCACGCTGCACAGAGCTGGGGTGGGGGGAGACTTTAATTAGGACTCCGAGGACCGCTCAGACACACGCAGATGGGCTGTGCAACGGGACCGGCCTCTAGGGGGCAGCCTGGTCTTCCTGCCCACATCTTACTATTCAAACTGGCCTGTGGGTGACCCCTGGTTGCATGCTAAAACCAGATAAAAAGCTCAGAGTGGGGCTGCGTCTAGGCCTCCCAGCAAGCACGCTTCAGACCTGAGCTTACTCTTTTTTTTTAAAGTCAGCGCTGTGGTTGCCACGTGCCCCCTCCACTGAGCTGCACCCAGGCCCAGACCTTAGACTACAGTGAGAGACCACATTTATTTGTCTAAAACTGATATGTATTTGACATCTCGGGGCCCCTTTCCCATGGAAGTAAGACTTGAACAGGTGCATTGGCCCAAGGCCAGAGAATCGCACGGGCATGTCTGCCCTGATGCTCACGGGAGCCTGGCTCCGGGACCGCCTAGGATACCAAAGCCCACAGGTGCTCGAGCCTCTCCGGTCAGGATTTGCACAGAACCTCCACACCTCTCCCCACGGGATTTAAATCATCTTGGGGTTACGCACAACCCCCAAGGCAGAGTGACTGCTGTATAAACAGCAGTGACACTGTGTGGTTTAGGGGAAAGTGGTAAGAAAAAGTCTGTACATGTTCAGCACAGATACAGTTTTTTTTTTTCCTGATAATTTTCTTTGTTTGGTTGAGTGCATGGACCCTGAGGTCCCAAATATACTGGGAAAAGGCAACTGTGTGGCTTGGGAGTCTGAGGGCATCAGTTGTTTCATCTTTAAAAATGGGAGTGTTAATTTAAACTACAGAACCAGACTCTGGCCTGCCCGGGCTAGGGAGTCCTCGGCCACTGCCACAGGAGGCCTTGAGCCATGGGGCTGCCTACCTGGGGCCTGCTCCGTGGTGATGACTGTGGTGGTGATGATGGTGGACGTGGTGGTCTCCTGGCTCTCCTCCGAGGCTGACCCAGTCAGATCGTTGTCACCCTTGTCCATCAGGGCGCCAGGGCTGGAGTCCTCAGAGGGTGTCTCAGGGGCCTCCTCTTGTGCGCTCGAGGCCGGGTCCCCTGGCTCTGGCCTCTGCAGGAGCGTGTGAGCCACCAAGGGCTGCGAGGTGAACGGGGAGATCTGCAGGGGCTCAGGGGTTGTGGGAACCGAGGCCTCCTTGCCCTGCAGCCAGACTGGCCCCTCTGAGGATGGCTGCGAGGCAGCTCCTGCATCCAAGTCCCCCACTGAGTGGGGCTTCTCAGTGGAGGAGTGGGGACCCGGCCCCATAGAGGCTGTGGCGTGCACCCCAGCCCTGGCAGAGTCAGTAGCAGAAGCAGAGGTGGCCTTGGGCCTCAGCTGCTTCCGGGCCGAGGTCACCAGCTTGAGAGGCAGCTTCTTCTTGGGGATGAGTGCATATGTCACTCCGGCCACCTCTGGGGGGAGTGATGACAGGATGGAGGGGTGGTGGTGCACAGAAGGGACTGTCCCTTCCGGCTCTAGCTCACCCAGTTCTTCTCCTGACTGTGAAGGGTTTGGAGGAGCCACGGTGATGTCATCTTCAGGGCTGTCCTGGCTTAGGCTGCTGCTCTCCAGCGCTGCAGAGGGCAGGAGGTGGGTACCCGGGGAGCCAGCGTGTCCCTGTGGGCCAGCATCTTGGGGACAGGAGAAAAGACACAGTAAGCTTGGGGCTGAAGTGGAGGACTAACCATCTGCCAGACTTGAGGTGGGGGTGTCCGGCCCTCTTAAGGCTGGTACCCAAGGCTGGCCAGGCCTGCCGCTCAGTCTTCTCCTCCCCTCCCATTCCTCCATCACAAGAGTCTCACCATCTAGTTGTCCATGTATCATGTGGGGTGAGGACAGTTACATTCCATGTGACAGCTGAGAGGACAGGCTTCTAACCTGTAGGGCTGCACATGTTCATTGCACAAGGGTCCTGAGCTACAAGGAGGATTCAGGCAGTACTGACTTGTTCAAGCTGTGTGTCCTGGCTCAGGGTGGCAGGGTCCTGAAACTTTTTAATAAAATAATATGAAAATAACCTTATAAGAAACAGGAAGATTGGACAATTCAGTTTCCTAAAGCAGATTCAGAAAATGAGGGATGGGTGGAGGCCCGGGGAGGCCTGGCTGAGCTGGGGACAGAAGAGGACTACAAAAGGGTGCAGGCAGAGGGTGACAGGGATAGAGTGGGCTCTGATGGGCCTTGCCCACTCTGTAGTATCCTTATAACTTGTTTTGAAAGTAAAACCATCTACAGTTATGATAGAGATTTTGCTCACAGTTGAAAATACCAGAAGCTGAAAACGCCCCAGCTGCACCTAATACCGAGTATCTTAGCGATGGCACACGACAGGGTGCCGGGTGTCTACTCTTGATTGGGGGTGACAGGGAGCTTGGGTCCCTGCCACGCATTGCATCAGGGGGCTGTGCTCCAGCGCAGTGCGAGCTGAGAATGCCATGTACAGTTCCTACTGCATGCCTGTCGCTTTTGCACCATTGCAAAGTCAAAGAAGCCTAAGTGAACATGGGAATCAGGGGACGGGCTGCGGTTATTTTATAAAAAGGGCGGCTCCAGGCAGCTTTCCGGCAGAATTGTGTTGGAAACCAGCTTCATTCACTCGTTTGAGGCCTTTCTCCCCCAATTGTGGGTTTCTGACTCCCCTTGTCTGACCCTTGCTTTCCTCAGTGGGGCCACTGTTCCCACTTTCCTGGGGCTCTTGTCATCCAGTGAGTCAGCGCCTGCAGAGCACTTCGGACGGTGCTCGGTCTCGGTGAGTGCTGGGTCGGTGCCAGCTGCCCTCACGGGTTTTCACTCTTGTCATTGTCATTGTGGACTGGGACAGAGCTAGAGAGAAATTGCGTCCCGGGGACAGAGGCCCTTGGACTGACGACTGTCTCTGTCCATTTCCCACAGAGATGCTTGCTCACCCAGCCAATCGCCCAGCCCTTTGTAAGTTAAATTTATTTGAGCAACAACTGGGAAGGGTCATTTACTTTTCTGCAGTCGGTGGCGGCGGCTTCATCTAAAGACTGCAACAGTTTGCAACAGCACTGATGAACATGTAGTGTAGAGCACTGACTTCCAGCGCATGTTCAATCCAGCACGGGTGGTATGGGCTGCAAGAGGGCGGGTCAAGGTCATTCAGGGGAGAAGCAGGCTTCCTGGCCCAAGCTGGGGGCGTATGGAGGCTCCAGAGGTACCCCTGGGTTAGAGTCTTGCCTGCTGAAGTCCCCGCCCAGTGAGCTTGAGCAGGCCCATTCCCCGTTCTGAGGCTCAGCTCTCTCTTCTTCACAGGTGTGATATTCTTTCTGTCCATCTCAGAGGATCTGATGAGAAGTGAGTTTGCTCAAGATGCTGTGGCTTTTGTGTTCTTTGTGACTTTTCTCAAATGATTGGTGGTACCCGCCTTTGCAGATAGATTACAGAGTGAGAAGAGGTCACGGGACCTGAGAGCAAAGGGTGATGGGTGAGGGCCCCTGCCCCAGGGAGCTAGCTGTGGAAAGGTTTGCTGCAAAGAGCTTGGCTGGGGCCAGGGGTCAGGAGACCTTAACAGTGGTCCTGTCTTGGTCACTAATCCCCGGAGTGCTTTGAAGTTCTCTGCTGCTCCCTGTGTGTGAAGTGGACAGCCACACTCGACAGGACACAAGGGCCCTTCCAGCTCTGACCTTGTTGGGCTTTGAAACAACCAAGTAATTGACAATTATTCTCAGAGCTGTTTGTTAACCCTGCTGATTCAGGTAAGAGGCTGTCTCGCTGCACTGGCCGATGACTTCTGTTGGGTCCCATGGCCAGGTAGCCTCTTCCCAAATATGTGCCTTCGATGGTAAGTATGGGGGGGTGTGCATTTGCACACAGAGAGATGACAATGCACTGTGACCATAATAACAGCGATATTTATAATATTTTATTTTGTTTTCTACATTCAGTGCCAAATAGTTGTCAGGGATGTCTTTGTACTTATCGTCTCCTTGATCTTTTTCTCCACTTTCTCAGGCAGAAATTATTGTACCTATTTTACAGATGAGAAAACTGAGGCTTTGGGGTATTAAATGACTTTGACTTTTTTTCTTTTGGTATATGGGATCGAACTCATGACCTCGTGCTTGTCAGGTAGGCACTTATGCCTCTGAGCTAAATCCCCAGCCCACTAAATGACTTTTAAGGTCACAGCAAAGCTGGGTTTTATTTTAGGCTTTCCTGTCCTCAAAGACCATGCCAGTCAGTATTGTAAGAAATACAGGGCATTGTCTTTTACTCTCTCCCTCTCAGCTTTGATGGTGCCTTCTCTTTTCCTTGTCAAATTCCCATAGGAGAAGCCCACTCTATCCCAACCTGAGTTCAGACTCATCAAGTCTGAATTTCCAGCTGGGAATCTGGGTAATTTGAAGATTGAAAAATACCTCTGTCAATTGTTGATCTGAATTCTCGTTTTCTAGTTATTTTGAAAGACAGATTTGTGTGGGCTATATCTGCCCCATTGTATCACAAGACACTGAAACAAATCCCCCCTCTGACTGCATCTGTTACTTGCTACCTAACCTCTCTGTATCCCACACCCTCAAGCGTCCCTTGTCTGGTCTCTAGCGGCCACTCACTCTGCTTTATGATTTTGGTTTTACAAATGAGTGAGAACGTGTGATACTTGCCTTTCTGTGTCTGGTTTATTTCACCTTAACATGATGTCCTTGAGGTCCTTCCAGGTTGCTGCAAATGACGGAGCTCATTATTTTTAAGGCCAAATGGTATTATTCCATGGTGTGTGTGTGTGTGTGTGTGTGTGTGTGTGTGTGTGTGTGTGTGTGTTTGCGAGCATGCGCACACACCACATTATCTTTGCCCACCTGCCAGCTGAAGAGCACCTTGGTCATAGCCAGTAAAGGGAGAGCTGGATCACATGGTTGGTAGATGCAGTTTTAGGGTTTTCTTTTGTACTGGAAATAGAACCCAGGACCTCATGCTTTCCAGGCAGGCACTGCCCCTCTCAGCTAAATCCCAGCCTTAGTTTTAGTTTTTGAAGGAACCTTTATACTTTTCTCCTCATGGGCAAACTAATCTACATTTCTACCAGCAATGTGTAAGTGTTCGCTCTCTGCATCCTCACCAGCGTTTGTTAGCTTTTATCTTCTGATAACAGCCATTCTAACTGAAGTGACGTGTCATGCCAGCTGGTTGAAGATTTGCTTTGCATTTCCCTGGCAGGGCAATCAGAGAAGCTACTCAGGGACCGGTGATCTCCTGATCTCCTGATTTGCTACGTGATCCTCTTCATTTCTGCTTTCCATTTCTGCTTCATTTCTTTCTCCAGGTTGTCCGTGGCAGGAAACAGGGGTGGCTGTGATTTTTGCCAAGGGCTACAACTCCCCCTAGTGTGTGTGTGTGGGGGGGGCTCCAAGATCAGAATACTGCTGATTGTACAGAAGGATATGTGGGAGAAGAGAATCCATGATGGATTCCTCTCCCAGCCATGGATCCCACCCTCCTGGGTGAGCAGGGGCCAATCACTGTTGCTGGGACCACTGAGGAAGCAAAAACAGCTGGTGGAGCGTCAGCCCCTTCCCACTGAAAATCTGCAGGTTTAGGGCAGTGGTGCATCCCACAGATACATCGCTGCCTCGACTTGTCCCCTTGCACAGGTCCCATGGAATGTGGGATCTTGCTGTTAACGCCATACTCCAAGCCAAGTCCAAGACAGTTGAGTGTGTATTTGTGGTCTGCATATGTGCTGCCTGTGGGCCTTGCCCACAGCTGGGCTGTCAGCCAGGTGAGCGTCAGGCAAAGCCAAGTCCCACGGAGAATTAGTCTAAATTGGATTCCAGTGCTGCAGAGACCCAGAAACTTAATAACTTGCTCTAATGGACCAGTTTTCTTGGGGCCCCCATGACCATTGAGTTAAATCTACTCCTTTTTGCTCAGAGCTGTTAAAAATGTCAGTTTCAGTTGTCACACCTGGTTGATCCTTTATCGTGGACATTCGGTGCTATCTTCAGATACTGTCAATCCATCCATTCATCCTTCCACCCACCAGCGACAGTACAGGGCACCAGCTTTCTCCTTAGCTAACACTTAGTACTCTTAAGATACGTCCCCTGCCATCAAGAATTTAGGACGACAGTCACACACAGATAACCAAACACAGAGATCAGAAAGAAGAGATAGAGTTTTAATTAAAGGCATGTGGGTATTGCTCTTCTGTCTATCAGGGCAGGCTGACAGAGATGGTGACTGAGCTCCTGTTCTGTCATCCAAATTGTGAGGAAGCACCTCTCTCTCTGTATCTCTCTCTGTCTCTCTCTCTCTCTGTCTCTCTCCTTTTTTCTAACTTAGACAGGGGGATGGGAGAGTGTACTGGCAAGCGCCCCACTGCAGTGGGAAAAGCACAGATCTGGAACCTGAAGCACTGACTGTGCCTTACAGGCCCAGGAATAGTAGCGTGGCTGGGAAAGGCTCAGAGTTTCATACGGTAGCATCTGCTGGTACAATGGTGTCATGTCACCCCTCGATGGGACCAAGGAGACAGAGCTGTGGATTCCCCTGGACCAACACTCAGTGAAAAGAGCAAGATATGCAATTCTATGGCCCTGCACCCTTGCCCTGCACACCCATGCTAGCAATTCTGGCTTCAGGGGGTGACTGACACCCCACAAAGGGCCTC